TGGGAACCCACAGGTTCGCTGTGGAGTCACCACTCTGTCTTATGACAGTCATTTCAACCACTATAAGATATTTGGAGGCAGACATGGCCACCTCAGAACTGTTTATGGTGAGATTTCATTATGCCATGAATGGAGAAGGTCAGCTGCACTAAAATACATCTCTCCCTGACTGCTCTGCACTACAGAAGGATTTTTCTGCACTTCCAGAGAGCTCCAAATCTCCAAGTCTCCTTCAACCTGCACTGGCAAGAGCTCCACAGGGGAGTCAGTGATCCCCTGACTGAACAGCCAGCAGCTCTGGCTGTTCCCCTTCCAACTCAACACCAACTGCTTCTGCAGGCTATGTGGGCTACCTTCTTCTCCCAGACCCTAGAATAGAAGAGAAGTTGAAACACAATTTTCTTTCCCAGATGGCTTCCTACCCCTGGGTTTCTATGCCAAGCTTTAAACAGGCATAAGCTGAGGACGTATCTTCTGCAGAAAATGGTAAAGATAAAGGATGCAAGTTCTGCTCTGTTACATCATGGTACATCGAGAACAGCTCTGCTGCAAGAAGGAATTTGTGGTCATGTCATTAAGAGCAAGATCTGCCCATAACCCTGTCTGTGCGCAAACACAACAAAGTTACTCTGCGTCCCTATGAACTAGCTTCTGTGGTAACTCCTCAGGAGAAAAAGATGGTATGTTTGCTATATCTGTGCTTGACATACCCTCTTTGGAATATGATGAATGAATATCAATGAATTTAGCATGAATAAGCAGTAAACCAAATTTTTTTCCAAGCAAGCTAGCTTTTTTTTTCCCCTCTTCCCTCCAAAAAAAATAGCAGGAATATGTTCTTGTCATTTGTGCCCACCTGTAGAAAATTAGCACGTGAAAAATCAGTGACAGCCCTTGTGGCAGAATGGGAAGATAATTATTTTAAATTACTTTCTAAGTTGTTTAACTTACCCACTCTCTTACCCATGTATGCAATGCACCAAGATGTATGTGCCCAAGTGGCCTGCATGGACATGGAGGATGAGGGAGGCCCCCTGTTAAGTCTTCACTATGTATCTTAGGTTCCTTTTGACTGGTGATGACAAACTGGGTTTGAACAGGTCTTTTATATGCTTTAGGAATCAGCAGTTGTAATGAGGCGATACTTTTGCTTCAGAAGCTTGCTTGCTTCAGCCTCCAAGAGTCTTAGGCAAGGTTGCTGCTCATTGTTTTCTTTATTCATTTTGGATATCTGTATGGCTACAAATCTGCCTCTCTGTTGGATAACAGGAAGAAGAAGAACAGATGCAGTATGCTATAACTCTTTTTGTCACCCTCCTGCTACCAGAGCTCAGGTCTTCTGCTGATTAATCATCTATGCTGTGGCCCTAATCCAATCTAGTCTTGATGCCAACAATACACACTCCTCAGTGTTTACCAGTTTTACGGCTATTAGTCAGGTCCTTGGATATCAAGACAGGCCATCCCTGCAACCCTTGCTCTATTATTTTTTTCTGCTGCTTTCCTTCTGTTACTCATATTTCATTCATAATAGTCCAAGTATTTGTGTTACAAATCTCTACATGCTGGCCAACAAACCCTGTTAGCCTAAAGATGGTCTGATGGAGCTCCATGGTCATACTTGGGCTAACGGAGTTTTATGCAAGTTATCCAGAACCTGTGCAATACTTGCCCTGCCACAACAGTCAGATTTGTCACTTGGAAATCTCCCTTCTTCTCTGCTCCACCACCAGCCTGGGTCTTCAACACAGGCAAGGTGAACAATTTTAGTCTGTCCTTCTGTGTTTGAATGAGGGATTGCTCTTTCCAGGCCTTAAAATAGGGAGAGACTTTTAAGAGATTTGAAAATGGAACTTAGGACCCTAAGTCATCATGCATTTTTGAAAGACGTGCTCTGCATCCATATCATGTTACTGCTCAGCTGCGTGGCTTTTCCTAGACTGTCTGAAAGTGGATCCCTACTGCTGTGTTCCAAAGGGGGGGTTATTTTAATATTGTACTAAAATACTGACAATGAAAACTTGTTACTTTAATTAGGTGGTAAGCACTGTTATCCTGGGTCTTAAGATTTTGAGTAAGCAGAGGTTGATTGCTGAAGTAAACTTTTACCATTTTGCAGTTCACAGGATTTATTTTACTGCAAATGCTATTGGTGTCTCCCTTGATGCCTTCCAAATTTCACTGGGAACATGAAGCCAGGACAATATGCTATCTGAAAATCAAAAGGTTACGGTGCGTTTTCTGGAAACAGTTACTTCATGGGCCAAGAGGACAAGCTTAACCAGAACAATACATCTTTTAGAGGAGACAAGGCTTGCCTAATTGAATCAGAAGCTCCAGAATTTACATGGCAGTTCATCTTCAGGCCACTTTGCTAATACACAGAAACTCAGCAACCTGCTGGCCACAGATCAGACTACAGAATGGTTCAAGACTCATTTCAGATCCGATGCAGAATTGCAGTACAAGACTACAGTACACACTTCATCTCCCAGCTACACACCATTTGGTCTTAAGCCAGATACCAAGACTCTTGGTCTTATGAGGGCCAGATGTCCCAGTGAAATCACAACTTTTAGCTATTTGTTTTGGTTTTCAGATCAACCAAGAGAAGTCCTGATTTTTGCAAGCAAGCAATGTGGCCACCATTTCCATACAGTATGCTGTCAGATCTACATGCTCAGCAAGAAACTGCAGGTGGGAGGCTGTCCCCTGGTCTAGCTACCCCAGCCCACCACAGCTCTCAGCAGTCGCTTTCCAACTGGGCTGACTAAAAGCCAAAGCAATGCATCCATTTATCCCAGTTTTTTGTACTATCATTTAGTATTCATTCTAGGATTGAGAGTACCAGGATGAGACAGGGTGCATCCCACAAAGTGTTCCTTTGACTTGGGCCATCAGAATAGCTTGTTGGGAATCTGCAGCGGCAGATGTGCCAGCACAAGTTAGAGAAGCTCTTTTAGCCCGTGCCTTGGCTTTGCTATGAGAAACTTGACAAAGGAGACACAAAGATGCAAAGGTGATCAAAAGCCAATGACGGAAAGCCAGCTCTGCACCCTCCTCCCTCAACCCATGAAGTTGGGGGGTTTTGCCCCCCAACGAGTGCTGTTTTGCCTGCTGATTGGCAGCTGTATTCTGATTTCCCTCCTAGGGCACTGATCATGAACAAACTGCAAAATTACCCCTGAAACATTCTTCAGGGGAAAAAAATCAATTGGAAAGAAAATATTACAATGCATATTTTACAGACAGTGATGGCTCTGAGATGAGGCAATGTTTCTAGGAGTCACATGCATTGGGAACGTGCAGGTCTTCAGACTGTAGCATAAGACAACCTAGGAAATCAATGCTCCATCCCTATAACAGTGACCCTGGCCTTTGTTTCCCACCAACGCCGGCCTCTCAAAAAGACTGCAGCTATGCTGAGGGGGTGTAAAATACTAGTAGTATTCCTTGCTATATGCACTTTGCATAGCTGAAAAATCATAAGGTGAAGTAGAAGGCAGGAGAGAAAAGGGTCTGAAGATTTTCATTGTGAGCAAAAGGCAGAAGATATTCCAAGTGCTGCTTCAACAAAGGCAGAGAGGCTTTGAAACGCCACCTGACACAAGCCAGGGTCTAGTCCAGTGGTTCCCAATTTTTTTATAGCTGAGCCTCTCTCAGGAGAATAATCGGTATTTCATACGTCACTGAACCTAACTGCTCACCTGCCTTAGGGCTGCCATCTCCTCCCCTTTTGCTCATGGTGCTCCTGCTTGAGTGTCTGTAGTGTCCAAGGCCTCATATTACACCCCTGTTAATGTGAAACTGTATGTCACGCCGGGCGTGCTCAGTTCAATTACGCTTCCAGGTACCCTCCTTATTAACATGCAGGCTTCTCAAATGACATAGACGACCCAAGTTCTGTGCTGTGAAAAGCTGACAGAGATATTGGCAAAAATATTTGCATAAATCTCAGCCATTTTCCTCTCACTAATGTGCTAATAAGTCCCATGAAACTAATTAAGATAAAAGTCTAATCTGTCCAGCTCCAAAGAGGCTGAAACAGCACCGGTGCAAAATGAGGGGAAACTAGTCTGAGCAAATGGAAGGAGAGGAAAATTGAGATGCTCATACATTATTACAAAAAAAGAAAGTATTTGGGCTTGAGGAAAAGAGACAGTGAAACAGTAGGGAGGTGTGGCCATGTCCCTTTTTCCTCTTCTCTAACGCATTACCTAAGCCCTTGTCTTGCACACACTAATACAGTTGCACCCCTGCAAGAGGCACACACCCTCCCCAAATAAATGTGATCATTTGGAAGTCACCTCCGTGAAAAACATGAACACTTAAGAACATATCAATGTCCCCAGCTACGTGTAACTGCAAGATCAATGCTCCAGCCTGCACGCCCTGCTCAGCAGAATTGCTGCTGCAAGCAGCAGAAATGTGCTTGCATAAACACAGTAGGAGCAAGCCCTGGGATTTCCTCTCCCTTTAACGTGGCTTACCTCTCTGTTAACCAGCCAGGAGCACTCCTTTTAGAGGTACAGACAAGCTGTTAGTGCGTGGGCCGCTATAGTAAGAGGTGCCTTGGATTTGCTGGGTATGTACAAAAAGAGCAATGGCCACTTCAAGCCAATTCTCCCCAAATGTTGAGCTGCCCTGACGTACACCCAGTGATCGTGCCACCAAGGAAGTGACTGCAAAGTTGTCATTGCTTGCTGATGAGGTCCATAGCTGTTTTTACACCTTCTTCTCTAAATAAGGAAGACGCCTGTGAGGCCTCTGACTGCCTGACCAATTTGACTCCTTTGCTCTCAACAGCCAATGAAACCCCACTCCTGCCTCCAGTCTTGGGTGACAGCATTCATCAAACCTCAGCCAGCCTGGGAGGATGGCAGGTTAGTGTTACAGCCGTGGCAGGCTTACCTTTGGCAAGCTGTTGATGTCAGAGTGATGATGTGGGGAGGGACAGCCTCTGCACTATAAAGATGGGTGAATCAAATATAACTGAGGCTGCCCACCGGAGCGCAGGATCTACAAAACATGGTCCCCACCAGTTTGAGTCCTGCTGGCCTGTCTCTGCTTCCAACCCAACTGCTATCGGGCTTTAGTTTCATGTCAGCAATCTCTATTTGCTTTCCAAAAATAAGCCTCTGCCACCATGCTGAAGGGAGAAAAACAAGAAGGGAGGTATTTTTAGGGCCATTAATTCTGACCACGTGCCCAGGAGGTGAACCGGATGGCCACTGCACAAAGACTTCTCATCACTATGTCCTGCGAAGCCAGCATTCACCGGACGTTGCCTGCTTTCGTTCTCCTGGGTTTTCTAGCTGGGATTGCTTCAACACATCCAGTTGTAAGCAGAACTAATGGCACATTGCTGGAAAGAGGATGGCAATCTCTGTTGTCCAGGTCCATTGCTGGGATGTCAGGGGAGAAGTCAGATGTGAACTGGGAGAGTGACTATTTGCTAGGAATCAAGAGGCAGCGGAGGCTTTACTGCAACGTGGGCATCGGGTTTCACCTTCAAATCCTCCCAGACGGAAGGATAAGCGGAGTTCACAATGAAAACCAATACAGTGAGTTGCATCCAGAAATGAAATAGAATAGATGTCACTTAATTGCTGTGAACTCTAGTAATTACCCTTCATAGAATGCAAATGTTATTACTTGATATTATTAATCTGTGCTACATCTGTTGCCTTTTAAAAGTCTCTGGGATCAATAAACATTAGAACCCTCCAGGCTGAAACATGTCACAAATGCTTAGACAAATTTAGATACAATTTATTTTTACTCTGCTTTACTGCAGAGATGAGAAAAGACAAACCAGGTTGAAAACTGTCTCTCTGCTGCATTTGCTCACACCTCACCTTCTCATTTGCCTTTTGAATTCGGGAGGTTGTTGCTAAGCTCAGAGTGCCAAAGCATGATTTTTGAATCCTAGCCGACTAGTACTTTGGGGGCACTCAGTCGTGGAAGGAGCTTGCTGTTCCTGGTTTGCTTATTCTTATGGGTGCTGTTCTGCAACCGTAAGATTAAAAGAAAAGCATTAGCCCTATGGATTTGAATTTCCTGTAGAGGGCAGTTGCTAAAATCTTTTGCAGCTAAGATATCACGGGGGACTTCAAAATGCAAGCCACACTTCTCTAAAGTTCAATAACAAACACTCTGTAATTATAGCATATTAGATAAAAATAATTTACTTATTAGAAAGCCCAAGAGTTTGACAGATCAAGAGTTTGATAGAGCAAAAGGATTATACAGCATATTACTACAATTCCAGAATTATTTTAGAATCCTACGGCACATAGGAAAAACCAAGATCTTCTCTGTGTGTTTTTATTATGCTGGACTAGGGAGATAATTCTAATAAAGAAAAATATGATATGTTTGTCAGAGTTTTAAAATAAATCAATTATATCTGAATCGCCCTTGACTAGCTATAAACTCTGTGATAACACTTCTACTGAACTTCTTATTTTTTAGGTCTCTTTGAAATATCCACTGTAGAGAGAGGTGTTGTTAGCCTGTTCGGTGTGAAGAGTGATCTCTTCATCGCAATGAACAACAAGGGGAAACTATATGGAACGGTGAGTACAAGTGCAAATAGTTTTTCAAGGCTTAAACAAAGGCTGCAAAGGTTTTGTGTTTTTTTTATCTCCTGGAAATCTCTGATTGCAAGCAGAGAAAATAGCCTTTCAATTACAGGGAGCCTGCCCCGCCCGGTGTCACCAGTGTTACTTAGTGCGACAAACAGCGTGGCTGTTAGAGGTCTGTTATTTTAAAGCTTTCCAATAAGATTGTACAGGGAGCACCCTAGGAAAATGAATGTATTCCGCAAATAGTACGGCTTAATTAGATGGCTTTTTCTAAGGACTTAGCACTGCAAATGCGTTCTAGTAAGACTGAACCCCGTTGATTCCCTCTTGTGTTGCATTGTATGTAAAGCAAAAGGGCGTGCTCCGCAAAAAAAACTGGGAGGTAAAGCGTGTGTCTATGTCCATGAGAGTGTGTGTGTGTATGTGATAGCATGCGTATGTGTGTGCGTACAGGTGTGTGTAGGAGAGGTACAATTAGAGCTATCTGTACTAGCTACCATTAGTAAAATCATGACCACATGCCTCCCCCTACCAAAAACAACCACACCATGAAGAATAAGTAGGAAGTCTACCCTACAAAGTCGACACATGCGCCTGGTGCTATTTTAAGGACCAGTTTTGTGAGATCAGTCCCAAAGGGTGCGAAAACAATAATAGCTGTTAACAATGGTATGCAAGTCATACTGAAACATCATCACCATCATCCTCATCTAGAAAGTGCTAGCTATGCCATCTAAATGCAATTTAGTCTCTGAGGCCTGAGCAAAGCGTCTCCAGTCTCAACATTCAGCAGAAAAAGCGCTTGTTAGGAAGCACGTTTGAAAGAGGCTGGCTCCGGGCAATAGGCAAAAGCAGTCTATCTCAAAGTAATGAATGGCACTGATTGCATTCATCTTTTTTGTCAAGAAACAACAAAGTCATTTCCTTTGAAACAGCTGTAATTTCAACACAGCATTTCAGTTGCTTAATAAAATACCAAATGCTGTGAAGGACCCGTAACCATTTCTAATCTGACTGATTCCTTCTCACACAGATAATGAGAGTGGGATGTTTTAAGGTTCATGTCTGATTTCAAGCACCTAAAGAGTGCCACAAGCCCAACTGCTTTGCTTGATCAGGTCTTTCTAAAGAAATGCAGGGTCTGGCTTCAGAGATCCCTTTGATTTTTTTTTTTCCCCCCGTTTCAATCCAGTCTTGCTTATTTTCAAAGATATTTTTAAAAGCTGTAAGAGATGTGCATTTTCCCTTGCACAATGCAATGCCCGAAGTTAAACTCTTACAAACTTTGAATGGTGTTATTACAAAGATGTCCAAATAGAACAGCACTGGTGGTGTCTCATGTGCCAGACATTTGATGTCAGGGAATTATTCTGCTTTCTCTTTTAATTTCCTCGGTGCTCTGCATTTGTCTCCTGCTTCTCCTTGCACCTCCTCTCCCAGATAACTCCCCCTCCTTGGATTTACGTGATGTGACATGAAGAAAAATAAAACTGTTTTCCCAGCTTTGAACCTGCTGTATATCTCACTAACAGTTAAATATAATATCACTAATGATCTAACAAAAGAAAAGATTTAGTGCTAATCTACAGTTTTATTCAAATACCTTATTCAAGCAAATAATTCTCCCTGGGCATTGCTGTTTTTAAGAGAACTGAATGTTTTGACAGCCAGCATATCATTCTTTTACAAATTACAGGACCTCTTGCAGAGGGGAGGTGTGAAATAAAGCTACGTCATTTGGGCGAAAGGGCATGATGCTGACAGAAATTACTGCTTGCAAATAAAATGAAGAAATCCATGATTTATGATGAATTAACTTGGTCTGTCACAGGAAGTACACAGTCCATTATCTGGACAGGTGGCATCTGAGTTCATCTGACACCAAATTAGCACTGAGGAGGGAGATTTATTGTTGGATGCAGTCACTGTGGCACCACCTGTTGCACACAGCAACAAGTTCTTCTGTAAAAATACTAGTAAGAAAAATTACTTGAATCTTCGTGAAATATTTATGTACCTGCCTTCTTCTCTACCCCCCCCCCCCCCCCCCCTTCCTATTCTTTAGCCTGGTTTCCAAGATGAGTGCAAATTCAAAGAAACCTTGCTGCCCAATAACTACAATGCATATGAATCAAATGCTTACCCTGGTGCTTACATAGCACTCAGCAAACATGGGAGAGTGAAGAAAGGAAACAAGGTTTCTCCTGCTATGACAGTGACCCACTTTTTACCGAGAATATGAACATGAGCAAAGCAGAAGATTCAATCCCAGGAAAAACTGTTTCATTTTGCACATGGGAATAATCTCCCAGGTAAAGTATTTATACTGCTCATTGAAAAAAAAAATCTATATATGTATGTGTATATTTGGATAAAAATATTTGTACTAGATTCATCACATAGCATATGTAATATGATGCTGCTTCTCTTCTACTCTGAACAAATTTACATGGCTGTGTGCCTCCTTTGGTGCTGAACAGAGAAAAATGCAAGCTGGAGTGCAAAGGAAAAAAAGTATTTGGAAGATATAGAATGGCTGTGGATAATAAGCTAATCAACCATAGGTTATTTACTAATTAATATTAATTACCTCAGATAGTAATATTTCATAGTGAGCTGTTTACATATCATGGGCCAAATCATCAGATGACTTTGCTTCACCAGAGCTTCAAGCAGTTCACTCCATCTGAATATCTGCCTGCACCTCCCCTTCTGCACACTGTGTCCTGTCTCATAAAGTCCTCAATCTATTTTGATCATTAGGGTGCCAATTCCACAACCGTTTCCACACAAGCAAACTGTCTACCCCCAGAGCCCCTCTGTCTCTGAAGGGATTCTCCAGGGTCTCCTCACATGGACTTGTTGCCAAAATGAAGACCTACAATCAATTTCCCTTAGGAAGGGCCACGGGATAAATCACAGATGGGTCCGAAATGCAAAATATATTTGGAGCTGAGGATTTTGAATGCCGCCTCCTTGCCATTTTGTGAGCTTAGTTTAGACCTGCCTCAAATATAGATGTGTACATCTTTAATATAAATACGTGTATATATATAGACATGGGATGTGTGAGTGTGTATCTATGTAATTACATACTTTTAATGACTCAATCATCCCAGTCTCTAGATGCCCAAGTGCCTTTTTATGTGTACACATGTAAAAGAACAGAAGTATTTAAAGGCACTGTGTTTCATTTAGGCTGAACCTTGTTAATCTCTAAGAACTAGAACTGGCCTGCAGGATGCATTTTGTAAAATGTATGAAATTCATGAAAGCTTCCAGCAAAGGGTTATTTTAGAAAACTTCTCTGTTTTGAATTCTCTTCTACTTACTGCTTTAAGTATATTTGGTTCTTCTCTATTATACCTCACTGAGGTATGAAGGACAGAGGAAGAAGGTTATACAAGCACGCCTTCCTGGGTTGGGGCAGAGGAATTTGTGCCATAATTCCAATGTCTGTTACTTGCAAAGCATCAGTTTCAAAGACAACACTGCAAGCTGTACGAAATACTCTCCAAATCTCTCCCAGAAGCCATACAAATGGCATATAACCTTGCCTTACTATTTTGACAAGCTTTTTCCAGATCACCAATGAAGCTACATTCTCTGTGCCTTTGAAAAAGTATTTTAAGAGGCCCTAAGTCAATAGTCACTATAAATGTCAGTTACCAGAAGCCTTGGGATTCCTGTATTGATGGCATGCTCCTAAATTTGAAACTAGATTCAATGCAATGTCAGAGCATGAGCATTTTCAGCATAGATAGACCATGCTGCTGCAGAAGTGAACATCTGAGTGCAAGATAATCTCCCACGTCCAGCCAAAATGTGGCTATGTCCAGCCTTGACATGCCATTCTATTTGCAGGGGGTGTCTATTCATGATGAATTTGAGCCTTCTGACATGCATGAAAAACACTGTCAGGGCCAGATCCTCAGTTGGAGTAAACCGGCCTAGTAAGACTATCATTTTATAGCTGCAGAAGATTTGGCTCAAAGAGCACACCTACAAGGTTGTATCTACAGCCACACTTTTGTCAAGACAATTGTTTTGTGAACAAGATACAGTTTTCCAGCTACTTTTGTGTGATTTATACTTGAATTTATTTTGCTCAAATGTGAGTGGTGATCACAGTGTAAATTAAGAGAAAAAAAGAATGGAATACTGTTTACAGTACATGAACGGGACACTTTGGATATGGCGAAGGAAAGGAATTACTCTTCATTTTCTGGTCTTGCGGTATGTAGAGAGAAGCCAAGTTGGCACACTTTGTTCATCCACAACGTGTGCAGCAGTTTGCTTTGGAAAAATGTGCATTTTAAGAGAAAAAGCAGGATGTTTTGAGTGGGGAGAGTGGGTCAAAGAAAAGTTTGGAGGCTATCAGACAGTTATGTTGACCTAGAGTCCCTAGAGGTGCGGATAGGAAGACTACAGCTGTGCTGAAATACATTAGCTGGCAACCTGTATCCTTGTGTTATATTCCTAATTGTCTTTGAAATTAAGTTTGAAGAAGTATGGAAGAGTACATGGACGTAGAAGAAACCATAGTTTGAATGCTGACACACAAGTTTGTTTCTGATCACAGCTTAAACCAGTGTCCTTAGGATAGGATGAAGTCTGTTCCCTCTTAAACCAGTGCAGTCTAGAGTAATTTATTGTTGCCAGTACTGATAAATAATGGGATAGCTGGCATAAAAGGTGAGAATCAGACTCACTGACTCCATTTTGCACATACTGGTCAACAGCGAGAACAAACCATAGACCAGGTCACAAGAAGTCTGTTTGGACTCAGCCTGCTGGGCTGAGCTTGTTCTTAAGAACTGCAGACCCTTGTGGATGCAGTTTTGGTGGGCATTTGGAAAGCCCCACCAGTCACTCTGCTGAGTTGCTTTTTACACCACTGCTTTTTCCTTATTACATATCAATGCCAGCCAGATCAACATTGAAGTCAACATTGAAATCAAAAAGGGTCTCCCAGTGCCGGGAATCCTGACTAATATGAGACTGAATCACGTCATTGTCAGAAGTGACAATAAAAGATGTCATTAACTGCGGCAGGAAACCTGTCCAGCACAAATAGTGCAGCACCGAAGTGTTGTGGAGTTTTAGAGTAGCTGCATATGATACTTTGACAGAGGTGCTTCTTAAGTGAATGAAAGGCTACTTTCAAGAGAGAAGTTAAGGCACGTGTTGACACATCGCTGCAGGTGTGCAAGTAGTCTAGGGGCAGCTCACAGTAGCAGAATGCACTGTGGCAGTGTTCAAGAAGTTACGCAACTTGCCTGGGAAATGGCCCGATCCTGTTCTGCCTTGATTAGCTAAATTCCACCTCCTCTTCCTCAGGCTGTTATCACCTGCATGGGAGGAGGAGGATTTAGGAAGACCACCACTCATTTTACACCCCTCGGGATAAATTCGTTGAGCTGGCACAGTGGGAAAAAAAAAAAAAAAGAACCATACATAAGCTGAATGTACATGATACGGAGGCTATGGAGAGAATATGGGCATAGTCTGGCAAACTCTCAAGCAAAACTTTCTTTGAAAGAATAGTTCCATGGATATGTGACTACATAAAGAAAACTCATGAAAGTAAAGGAGTTTCCCAAATCAGGGCCAAATTAGGAACCTATTATTGACAGTTCTTGCGGTGGTCCCTTTCAAAGCATATCTCATCTCAGTGCACATTAACGCAGAGTCATGAAATGGGCTACAAGCTTTGAAGGCATTGCTGTGAATGCCCCACACCAGCCTGTCTTGCCCATATTTTGCACATGGGATTCTCCTGTGGAGTTGATACCTATTTTCAAGGTTTTTTCTTCCATAGGCAAATCCCATAATATCTTAAGACCTAATCCACCTCCGTTAGAAAACAGTTTTGACTGGAACTGAATCGTGTTCTTAAATAATCTAATTTTCCCCAAACGTGCAGAGATGCAGACACACACACAGCGGAAAAGCGGAGTAATTTTTGTATACCTCACTAACTATTTCAATTCCAAGATTTTATTTTGCACAGTAAAATGGTGCCAAAGTTCTCACATTATTTTTTTTTCACAAAAATATACCTCATATTCTTACTCAATATGGACTCATAATTGAGACTGTAAATTTGCAAGAAACACAGAACTGTCCAATCAATTGTTTATGAAATTGCTTCTATTTTTATATGTATGTGCTGCGCACAATAGTTTAATGTATTCATAAAATAAACTTTTATACATTTTTGGTAGTGTTTTGACTCCAAATCCCTCTTAACATTTGGTTTTTCCCTTGCTTCAGAGCTGCTGTATTAAATCCGCACACACACACAGAGTTTTTATTCACCTCTAGAACCAGAGGACATATTGGCACACTTAAAATTGTGGTAGACTTTTGTGTTCTACAGACTTCTTGCCTGGGAAGTCATAAGAGAGTCATGCTTGTTGTAGAGAATCTGGGAGTTTCACAGAAGAGAAGGCAAATAAAAGTGCAATCTGATTAAAGATGAGCTGTCATAGTCACCTGTCTAAATTCCAATACTTTTACCTGGAGTTGTTCTAGTGCTGCTCTGCTGTTGCTAGTGCTCTTCAGTGTGTAACGGCCCATGCATATCCCTTAATTCATTAAATAAGAAAGGTTTTTTTTTTTAAATGGCATTTTCTTCTTGCCTGGGACTAACTTGGGAGAGCAGCTTCCTGCAGTCATCTCCGAAGGTTTTTGCCTCACTATGCCTCAAAGTTGAGTATTTTTGAAACACTGCTCCATTTCAGTGATTTGGTAAGTTTTGTTCTCCCTTTCTCCACTCCCAAGTTGTCATTTAATCAGTCCTTCAGTTAGTTAAATGACTACAGACCTCTCCCAGTCTGGGGACACGGACTAAGATATTAGAAACCAATAGCTGGGAATCTGCCACCTCCTTCAAGTTCAAGTACGCTGTTTAATCCACACCAGTATGATGTCGCAGAGCGGACAAGTCTCCAAAGCTCTGATTGCTGGCGGCTCTTCTCAGGAGCATAAGAACATCAGCACCACGCTGGCTAAACGCCATTCCCTGCATTTGTGTTTTGGCTGCCTACGCTCCCCCGTAATAACTCCCTTTGCTTGCAAGTCGTCATAAATTCTTGCATATCGTTGCTCTGCGTATGTGCCACATTTCACCTGAGAGAGGACTACGTTTCACTGGTGGGTTAAGCAATGCATCTGTCTGCTATAGAAGTGCCTTGTTTACAGCTCTGAAGGCCGCTCACTGTAGGCAGAAGTAGGAACGGGAGAAGATACACAGCCCACACACAGCGACTGGAAACGACAGGACAAACTGGCAGCTGACGTAAACCAGCCTAGGCCCAGCAAAACAGAAACATAAATGATCTGGTAGGAAGTCATCTGCAGGGGCTAGGAAAAGGCTACGTGTGGCCAGCTCGCAAGACACCCCCTCAGACACAGGCTAGTTTCTTCTCCCTGTATCGTAGTTTGCCCTTTGGAAGGTGATGCTGGCCAGACACACCTAGGCGAGTGCCCAGGTGCCCTGGGAGGCATGGACGGTTCCCATGCCCCCTTCCCACTCTGTGCTCTCAGCTTAGGGGATGAAAACTCTTCAAGGAATTTGGAGGACAAGAGATGGTGGCTAAGTCCCACACCTCTATGAAGAGCAGGAAAAATTTTGGCTGAACTTTGCTCGGTTTACATAATTTTCTGCTTCCTCCCAAGACATTTGAAACTTAATGATGTACCTGTTCCTACAGGTACACCTGCAACACAGTAAGCTTATCCTTCTCCTCACCACTTCGACTTGGGTTCCTGCCTCAGCAACTCTCCGCTGCTCACCCTGGACAAGCTGTGGGATGCTTGTCAGGGAAGGTGAAGTTTAATAGACAAGGGCAAATACAATTTAAACAAAAAAATTAGTCTAATGGCTTAAAAAGACACCTCTCCTAGCTCTCTGCACTAATCCTGTTCCTCTAGTCTCTTCTTTCCTCCCAAGTCTTTTTGTCTGACTTGTCACTGAAACTGTAACTGCTCCTCTGAAAAGTCTCTCCCTGCACCCAGAGCAGAGCAGGAGTATCACAGCATGTCCCTTCTCTCCCCTCACCCCAAGTCATGCTGCCCTTTGTGTCCCCTGGCCTGAAGCCATTGGCAGAGACCCATCATCTGTCCACTTATTCAGGCTCTGGCTTCTCTGATGACCCACCATCTATATGAGGCAGCAGGTGCTCTTTTCATTAGCTCAATGAGCCCGGGTTGTCAATAGCTCCTAACAGACATGCCAGCCCTGAGCTGGCTGGAGGTTACAGTGTGAAAAGCACAGGTGAAAGCGGGCAGCGCTACACCTTCCTGAAGCCAGCAAAAACTGCTCAGCAATGGTAGCAAGATGAAAAAAAAAAAAAAGTAAATATGTATGAAAGAGCAGGAAACACGTTCTACTCAAAGAAGGTTAAGGGCTAAATAGTTGTTGCCATCCTGGTCATGGAATCAGAGATATTTAGACGGGAAGGGACTGCTGGAGGGCTTGAATCCAATCTCTAGCTCAATGCAGGAACAACTTCAAAGCTAGGGGAGATTGTATCAGGAAGAATCCCCTCTATCCACCCCCTCCAACAGTCCCTGTGATAGCCTCATGATTCATTAAGCTCTGGATGAAACTCTGGATAGCAACTCAAAAGGGGTCAATCGCAGACAGGTGTCTCAAAGGGGTCACCGGCGCAGCTCATGCTTTGCTGGAAGGCAGTCTAAGAGCTGATGGCATCTTCCTATTGGGCCTTGAAACAAGCCACATCTGTCCTGCACACCGAGCAGAAAATGTCCTTCCTACTGGAACTCATCCCTACCAACACAAATGGCTGCAGAAATCATCTAAAGGATTCAGTCCCCTGAAGGGAAAGGAAAAAAAGAAAAAAAAAAAAAAGGCTTTCTGACAACTCACGAATACAAGGCTACCTCAGTTGTAGGTACACAAGATTTGGGGGAAGACACAGGTACACGAATTGCGTGGCTTGAAGTGCAACCCCAAACCACTTTCAGGGAAAAGGGCGGCAGCAGTGCTATTCCAAAATCTGAATGCCACATAACGCCTACGGTGCTAGAGACAGGTAGAAAGAGTCTGACCTCCTGAGGCTGATTACTGCAATTTTTTATTGGCTGTTATTATTATTGCCCTCTGGTGGCTATTTTGTTATTTAGCAGCTAGATGTCAGAGACCAAGCATGGGTTCTGTACCTGGGCCTGGGCACAAGGGGGAAAGGAGGCTACCACCTCATGGCTGTGATTGGATATAGGCTTCAGGTCCCTCGGTGGGTTAGTATCTGTTGCACCCTTATACAGGAAAGTCACAATTTTAACTGGGAGGCCACAGAACAGTATTTGGGATTCAGGTATCTTCTTGATGAGCAACTTTTCATAACACTAGGCAGGCAAACTGACTGTGAAAACTACTTTGCTTTTACTCCAGATTTTCCAGCCTGAAGATTTGCCAAGTTTTTTGAAAACATAAAACCTGAGCCAAAGGCAGTGCCACACAGAATGCCTTAAAGGACATAGACATGGACTTGTTGGAGTGGGTCCAAAGGAGGGCCACAAAAATGATCAGGGGGCTGGAACACCTCTCCTGTGAAGAAAGGCTGAGAGAGTTGGGGTTGTTCGGCCTAGAGAAGAGAAGGCTCCGGGGAGACCTTCTTGCAGCCTCTCAGTACTTAAAGGGGGCTTATAAAAAAGATGGCGGCAAACTTTTTAGCAGGGCCTGTTGTGACAGGACAAGGGGGAATGGCTGTAAACTAAAGGGGGGGTAGATATAGACTAGATAGAAGGAAGAAATTTTTTATGCTGAGGGTGGTGAAGCACTGGCACACGTTGCCCAGGGAGGTGGTGGATGCCCCATCCCTGGAAACATTCAAGGTCAGGCTGGACGGGGCTCTGAGCAACCTGATCTAGTTGAAGATGTCCCTGCCCACGGCAGGGGGGGTGGACTAGATGACCTTTAGAGGTCCCTTCCAACCCAAACTATTCTATGGTTCTATGGCATAAAATGACAAGGCTCATTAAATCCCCCTGCTATTCCTCATGACACCTGTGGCAGGAAATACTGTTCAGCAGCATGGAGCACCTTGAGTGGGAAAGCAAAGCAGCAGTCTTTTCCAAATTATACTGAAGACAACAATTTTAAAGCATGTTAAGAAATCCCTTTTTTTCCCCATTACCTCACTGAGTGCATTATTACAAATAGTGCTGTGGGACCATAAGTGATCACAAATGATATAGTCTCCAGTTCATCGACTACCAGAGATGCCCTTTGCAGGACCAGGAGCCCCGGGGAAGACGCTGGTGCTCTGACTGCCAGGGGGCAGTGTGCCACCTGCAGAAACGATAACTCCAGGGGAAAAAGAAATATAGAAGGAAAAAAAAACCACAGGAGTGGTCACTACCACACTTAGAAACAGGCATATTGTTAAGAAATTTACTGAGTAGTGATCTACTTCACCAGCAAAATACAGAGCATCATACAAATGCTATAGCCACTTCTCCATCAACTACTGAGCTATCACAGTTTTTCTAGAAGAGAGGCAGCTGCTGTACTAGAGTTTCATGAAAAAAGTATCCAGAGCTTTCCTCAAAGGAAAAAAATAAGCTTTCAATTCAGTAAAAAAAAAACCACACCCAAAACTTTCAGCTCTGTTGTTTACTTTCCTTAGAACGTGCAAATGGGTACATCAGAAAAGTGATAACTGAAAACATTTTGCTTTTCAGAAGTTTTCACCCATGTCTTTTAGATCAAGAAAGTTTATGGCAGAAAACATCAAGTTTTATTTAATAGGTCCTTGTTTTCTGTGTTGTAGGAAAAGAGAAAAAAAATCTCTAGTTTAAACAATAGTACATGAGACATCCCAGTGTTAATACATTTTTCTTTCTTTTAAAAGTGAATCTACTGAGAAGTAACAGGCTGACACAGTCTGAGACCAAAGGGCCAGCCTGTACATTATGTACATAAATGTCAACTGACATTTATGCTGCTATAAGGAAGGTAAGAAGCAGGTTCAGGCTTGCCCAGTGTATTTAATCTAAGCCTCCAGCCCAGCCTCTGTGAGTTTCTGTGCAGGATCCCAATGCTCATCCTAGGAGTGGGAGAAGGGGTTTGAATGCAATGCTGAAATCTCCTGGGGACCTGAGGACCTAATTGCCTCCTGGTCCTTTTCTCCGTATTGAAACTTGGTGTTGCACAGAACAGACCGCAGCATGGACATCACAGGGTCTCCAGCAGCTCTGGAAAGCCTGTCTTTTAGGAACCATGATGAGAAACCAAAGCAAAGATGAGAGCTGGGCCCAGT